TGTGGCTCAATAAGCTACTGCAGTGTGTACATACCTGCCAACATTTAAAAATGAGAATTAAGAATTTTAAGCACGGTATGTCTTCGAAAATAAGAAATCTGTACCCTTAACAGGTGTTCGCACATGCAGCGGCAGTATAACTGGCAATACGCGGTAAATCTGTGCAAAAAAGCTAATACAAATTCGCTGCTCAATCATGCAGCTTTTCAACGCACGCAATACGTGAACTCTCACATCGCGGCATATGATCAAACAAGCTTAATTTGGCTTAAGCAACACAATAAAAATATAAATATTTAAAAAAATAAATAAATACAACAAAAAAAATTTAAAAAAAAAAATTTAAAAAAAAAAATTTAAAAAAAAAAATTAAAAAAAAAAAAAAAAAAAAAAAAAAAAAAAAAAAAAAAAAAAAAAAAAAAAAAAAAATCGAAATTTTGAAAATCCGGGATCTCCCACATTTTGGGGTCCTAAAAATCCAGAAAAACAGGATATGCCGGATTATTCGGGAGGGTTGGCAGGTATGTGTGTATATTTGGAAGAATTCAGTAATCAACAGAATAAAGAGATTTTGAAACTATCCAAAGAACGAAGAGTAACTCTGCACTACTTGTAGCTACTTGTACCCTCTATACAGCAAACAATGCCTAATCGGTGCCCATTGGTCCCAGATGGTTCCCTTTTTCATATCTTAATTGAGAGCTGATTTGATGAGATACCGACCAGTCAATGACCACGCAGGGAGGTCTCATCCCTCCTGGCCAAACTAGTGCAGTGGGGCTTTAAAGAATATAGTTTTTAATAAACAGTTGATTTATTAAGTAGCTGAATAGATATAAAACAAGATGCTTTTACCAGTAAAATAACAAAACTTGTTTCATATCTACTGTAGATCAAGTAATAATAAAAATAATGATAACATTAATAATATTGATGGTAGTCGTGTAAAGCATGCATGTCTGGCTCATTGCCACTCCTAGCGCTCCATTATTACCACCCTGGCTTCAGGGATTTGAACCCTGTACCTTGTGGTTTACAGTCCAAAGACTTATCCACTGGACCACAACACCTTTACAAGTAGTAACCAAATGGACTACAAATAATTATGTATCGGTATGCAAGATTTGATAATTTCTACCTCTCCCTCTCTACATTCTCTCCCTGTCTTCCCCATCTCCCTCTCTCTCTCTCTCTCTCTCTCTTCCCTTACATCACTCTCTTCCCCTCCTCTTCTCTTTTACTTCTCCCTTCTCCTATCAATTTTTCTCTCACACACTCACTCTCTTACTTTCCCTCCTCTCCTTCTTACCACTTACATCCTCTCTTACTGTTTCCGCTCATACTGCCAACAATGTCACCTCTCACTCTCTCCACCACCCTCTAGATCTTTAACTCTCTGTTATTTGATTTTTTTTTACCTCTTCTCCATTCTCCCTCTCTCCCCATATTCCCTTCCATCACTATCTTCCCCTCCTTTTCCCTTTTATTTCTCCCTTCCTCTATCAGTTCCTCTTTATCTCACTTTCTTTACCCTCTACTCTCCTTCTAACCGCTCTCATTCTTCCTTACTCTTTCTGCTCAAAATACCAATAATGTCACCACATTCACCTCTCCCTCTCTCTCTCCGTCACCCTTTCCCTCTCTCCATCGCTCTTTCCCTCTCTCCATCACTCTCCCCCTCTCTCTCCATCACCCTCCTAATCTCACGTGGTCTCTCCATCTTTCCTTCCTATCCCCTGTATCCTAGATCTTTAACTCTCCGGTAACAAAGCCCCGGTTCCCTCCATCCCCCAGGAGCTAAGAGCACGGCGGCTTAGTGATGAGTGGGACCTTAATCCATTTTACAATGTGTGAATCTTAGCTTTAGGTGGAATCACTTAATGCATCAATAGAGGTATTCATGACATGCCATTGGTATGGGGTCTGTTCACACAAACATCTTAAGCCGGATCAAGCTTGAATTTGATTCGGGTTTATTTGTTTAGATCTATATGATACAGGTTCATGAATAACTTAATGCATCAATAGAGGTATTTATGACATGCCATTGGTGTAGGGTTGGTTCACACCAACATCTTAAGCTGGATCATGATTCGATTTGATTCTGGTTTACTCGTTTTGATCTATTTATTGTTTGCAGAGATGCCAGTTAAAATTGATCAGAGTGCCTGAAATCACCTAGAATGAGCCATTTTGCACACAAAGAAGCCTTAACTATGGCCTGAAAATAACTCACCACGACCTGAATTCAGGCTTTAGACCAAAAACTGGCATCCCTGTGTTTGTTATAGGAAAATATGATACAGGTGAATGTACATGCATCAACATAGTAAAATGTAATAAACCTGTGCATCAAGAAAAAAATGAAGATATTAAGAAAAAGAATGACCCCAAAACATCATTAAGTTGAAATCTGAGAACTGAAAAAATGGTACGACGGGACACACTAAAAAGATTTCACTGATTGTTCTTAGTATAGCACAGGGAAAAAATACACAAGGGCTCAGGGCGAATTAGCCCCGAAATGCTAAAAAGAGCCCCCCCCCCCCCCCCAAAAAAAAAAAAAAAAAAAAAAAAAAAAAAAAAAAAAAATTGCATAGAGTTCAATGCAAAACAAAATAAACAGAGTTATTTTCATGCAAGCAAGCTTGAAAAGTAGCCCCAATTTTTTTTAGAAATTTGTTTCCCTGGTAGAGCATGCTATTTAAATGTATTTGACTTGGATGCGCTAATACAATTATTCTAGAAGTGGAGTAATCTCTAGAGTTCGAGAGTATTTACAGACCAAAGAATAATCAAGAGGAATGAGAATCTGGGCCGAATCATCATCTAAATCCTGCCTACTAATGGCTGATATGCTAATAATGGAAAAGGTTTGCTGAGATTGTAATCCTGGGGGGTGTTTCACAAAGACTCTAAGTTGAACTTAAATCTAAGTTGGACTTAAATATTATGGAGAGCCATTCGTAGCCTTAAAATGAAATATATTCAAAAGCAGAAATTGAAGTATTTTAGAATTTTCATAAATTCCACATCAAGAACATGACTTCTCCTTGATACTAGAAAATATGAATGATTTGGATCAACATTTTATGCCTGTAAAAATAGGTTTTACAAAATATTTTCAAAGATGCTAACGGCTTTCCATAATTGTTAAGTCCAACTTGCAGATAAGTTCAACTTAAGATCTTTGTGAAACACCCCCCTGATCAATTTCTCAGTCAAAATTGATATCCCTGTTTTTATTAGGGCTTATTCACAACAAGGTTTAACTTATAATTATCTGGCTAATGTAATGTGTGTATTCACACAAAATATTTGAATCAAGTACAAACAAAATCTACAAAAAAGTAGGAATCCAACATCATATGAAGAAGAAAAAGGTTGACAATTGCTTAAAGCTACATGTAATCTTGAGCTATGGTATGGGCATTGTTTGTCGAAAGAACATGGCTATTATTCATTCTGGATTGTTCATCCTGCAGTAGATTGATTGTTTGAACCACTAAAGTAAAAACAAACCCACACAAACTTGCTGGAAACCATCTGCAGTAAAAACTACAACTCTCATTTGCAAACAGTGACAGGTGTTAAGCACATGGCCTTGGGCTTTTCCTTATACCTTTTTATATGCTCATTACTCAGCCAGTTTACATTTTCTATCAAAATCGTCTGGCACATGTCATTTATTTGTAATCTTGAACATTCAGAGTAAGTTTAGTTTGATTCTGTGAGAATTTATTTTCTATCAATACTAGAACTCAAACTTAACCTTTAAAGATCCGACAGTAAATGACGGTGTCTGTACATTGTAAAATTATCCGTTCACAAATTCTTTGATAATTTAAACCAAGAATAATAGTGAATGACATCAATTAGAACTAACAAACTAAACTAAACAACTCCATTAATTTTGGGCGTTACAGAAAGTGTTATGACTTTGTGACGATGACATTATTGAAGACATTCAACATGCCACCACGTATGTTACAAGTTCAACCGTCATTAAAAAGCAGGTTGCATTCTGGGAAATTGGAAAATACTTTGTGAGATTATTTACGGTTTTCTGTTTGTGAAACAATATCATTGAAATATCTTTCAGTAAATTTTGTTCAGAAAGTCATTGATAATCAACCTTTTAAAATCACTTCAAGCCATTTTTTATCTTCACAATGCAACTGAATGGCTTTAATGAATGAATTAATATTAATATTGGATTCCAGTTACACTCCAACGAGATGAACAGCTCTTCTACTCATCCACCTTTCAACATAAACAAGGTAGAGAGCTTTAATGAAGTGCATGCATTAACCTCAATTGCCTTTATAAATCAGATTTAATGAATTTATGAACGAATCCATCTCCCCTCCTGGCTTTGTGGCGATTCTATCCATCAAGGTTGATGAAATCTAAAGTAGATGGTTAATTCTTGACTAGGGCAGAGAGATGGAGCTTGTTGGATCTTCAATTCAATCAATGAATTTATTTTTCTGATGTACGTTCAGCATGGACATTTGTTTCACTAACATTTAAAATAAAGGCTCAGTGTACAAAGAACCAGGAATAGGATACATAATGGTGATGACAAAATAATAATTGTACATAGTATTTGAATTTCTCTTGGTTATGGGTTGTTTCATTTAATCAAATTACATAATTTGGCTGTCTTCATGGCATTTCTGTACAAATTCAAATTCGTCTTACCAATTTATACATAAGACAATAATATGAAGGAGTGTAATATGAAGAGAGGGGTAGAGAGAGAGAGAGAGAGAGAGAGAGATTGGGAGGCGACACAGAGAGTTGAGAAAGTAGTTTGAATTGTCTCGAGTTGGACTGCCATATCATGTGGAGTATATTACCATACAAGCACCCTTTAAGTGTGTATCAAAGGTCAACTATGGCAGTCCAAGTTGTTTGTTGCACTGCCCACCGGATGCATGCAAAGAGTTAAAGAAGACTTTGGATAATGTTTAGAGGGCATGCATGGTTAAACTTACAAGAGCTGCAGATTGTGAAGTCCTCTGAATGCGTCATTATCAATGTGTGTGATGTTGTTCCCAATAAGGCTTCTAGAAAGATGAAAAACAAGGAAAAAGAGAAAATAAGAAAAACAAAATCTTATTTCTAAAATTGTAACATGATGACGTCATAAACTCTGTTGAGCAAAAAAGGTGCATAAAACACATGTACACTAGCTTCAAGCCCTTTCAAAATATGCAATAAAAAAAGGGGGTCACACAGCGGCCAATCAGAGTAGCTATAGTAGATTCAAATTTGGAATATACATGTAAGAGGTGATATGTACAATAGTATATACAACCTACAAATCATTGTATGTAAAATATGAAATAATATCTGCATAATATTTGAATGAATCTCTACAACAATGTAATAGAGAGGCCATACTCGGCTCCAATTTATTATGATTTAATTTTCATGCACAATTAAGAGGACATGATGACATACAAGGTTGGACAGTCCAGTAGAACATAAGTCCACAGAAATCTGGAAGCCCAAAAAGACTGATCGTTATCAAGCAGGAAATAAATGGTTGATGATTGTTTTACTAGACTGCTAAGCAAGCATGCATGCTTGCAGGTAAGCAACCAGTGAACAGACGGCTTAAAGGCCCACTGCACTACTTGCAGCTACTTGCGCCCTCTATATAACAAACAATGCCTAATCGGTGACCATGCATTGGTCCCCCATGATCCTCTTTTTCTTATGTTAACTGAGAGCTGAATTGATGAGATAACCACCTGTCCAGTGACCTTGCAGGGCGCTCTAATCCCTCCTGTAAACTATGGCAGATAAGCTTTAAAGTCCTCTTGAAGGACTTGGTAATGAGGATAAATGCTGTGCCCCTTACAAGTGTATTGAATTGGTTTTGAATCAGGGACTTCCCGGTTTAGACACCACTGCTCTATACCACTGAGCCATCATATCTCCTATAAAAAGGTAGTAAGTTCCTAATTGCCAAGGTGAAATCCCACAGGAACCATCAGCCCAGCATAGCAAAGGAACATACAGATATATAGAAAGATAGAGGTTTAAAACATCCATACAGGATTTAAAATTGATCTTGAGTTGAGTTTTGTCATTGAAAGTTTTAATTTCTCATCATGTTGTTCGAAGTACACACGTCGATGCACTAGTTCATGGGCAAATTGGGCGCAGATGTTAAATCCAAGCTAACTTTGGAGCATGCCTGGATACGAAAACATTTTTCACCTGGTGCCCTTCTAAACACTCATCCACGTATGACGCAGAAACCTCTGCATTTTTTCTTTCTAAATGCGTAAAATGAATGGAGAGTGGAGATGAAAAAAGGAGCTGCGCACAAAAGCCCTCAATGTATGCATATACTCACCGCCTGTGTATTATAAGCTACATAACCGTGAAGTGCAGTACGCTTGATAAACATCGACATAAAAAGAGGCAAGATTCGAGCATCATGTGCTCGAGCCATTAATACGCACAAATACATTTCTCTGACGATTACCCCCCCCCTTTCCCCGAACATGTTCCAATGCATCCATACAGTAATCTAAATCACTCTACCTGCATGGCCCCTGGAAATGGTTGCCATGGTAATTAACGCAGTCATCAGGAGGAGAGGTGTTTGTAATTCTTTGATTAATTACCAACAAGAATCTGGAGATTGATGGACTTATCAGATACGTTATCAATGATGCAAGGACAAGTGATGAACCATACCAGATTGACAAATATAGCATCAAGGATAAGCTAGGCCTATATTCATTGAAGCTTAAAGAGTTTTGGTAGCCCCCGGTCCCCCCTCGGAAAAAAACAAAAACAAATGCCATGAAATATGTTAAATAAAGTCTCGCGTTATCTTATCATTTTATTATCTTAAAGCTTATCTGCCGTAGTTTACAGGAGGGATTAGACCGTTCTGCAAGGTCACTGGACAGGTGGTTTTCTCATCAAATCAGCTCTCAGTTAACATAAGAAAAAGAGGATCATGGGGGACCAATGGTCACCGATTAAGCATTGTTTGTTATATAGAGGGCGCAAGTCGTTACCAGTAGTGCAGTGGGCCTTTAACTCAAGGAAATCTGACAGTTTTTGAGGGTTTAAAAAACTATACATTACCTTTAAGGGTAGTGTATATCTTTAGGGAAAAATTATGAACATGAATTTAAATAGCAAGTGTATAGCAGTTCTATGTTCACTTTTGCATTCACACATTATAGAAAACAGTGGTTTAATGCTTTATATCTGAATGAGCCTTAACTTAAAAATAGGGGTGAGGCGCAACACTTTTGGAGTTGAGGATGGCAGATCGATATACCACTTATGTTTCAAATGGGGGCGGACTACAAGTGGGATTTGGCCTTTATAACTGTCAGTTCTATGAATACAATTTATTCATTTATTTACTACTTGTAGGATGAAACACCCTTTTCAGCATGAGTGCTGTTTTTCATAAGGGTCCACCAAAGAGTTTTTACATACATGTACTCTTATCAGTCACGCTTTTGGACACTTCCTAAATGATCACATACAAAGGCATCACTGATTTCCAGGCTTAGTGAATTCAACAACAACAACCCCTTTTATGTTCCGGACGTTAATCTTTCTGCCACTACGTTTCACTCATAGCTTGTTCAGACTATGGTATATCAAACTTGTACAAAGAAACATCTAATAGCGGAAGGAGTATACAGACTAGAAAATAACGTCATCTAAAGAAACTTTGTCTATAGAAATGTTGTACAGTGAAACTAATTTCGAAGTGGATAATTGACACAATGGCTGGCAAGTCATCTGTGTGCCCTCACAATAAGCCCAGCCCAGTTATACAATTTTTTTCAGACTATACAGTGGAACACTGTTTCCGTATCAAGTATTTATTCAAACATTTTTTTCACTATAGATCATTCAGACTAGAAAAATGTAAGTACTTCTTGTATAGCTACATATATACGATTCTTAGGGTATGTTTATGCTCAGCTTTTTCTGGCCAGAATGAGGCATCTGTTACGCGTTTAGTTCAAAGCACGGTTGCGTCCTTTCTCATTTTGTAGAATCACCGAAAAACGGCGATCGTAATCGCCGATCGTAAACTCACAAAAAGGTGCGTTTATGATCGGTGATTCTGGGGTAGCATAAACGCACAATCATTTGTAAACGCGTTTAAATGGGGTCAACGTAGCATGTGCAGTGCAGGTGTGTGAATCAAGCTGCAGACTCTGCACTGCACTTCTCTGGCTCCTCCAGGCATGATTCTTGCTCGGAGCCAGAATCATGTCTGGAGGAGCCAGAGAAGTGAGCATAAACAGTACACCGTGGAACTGCGATTACGATGAGCGTTTACGATGAGCGCTTCAAATCGCTCATTCTGCCTTCAAAACTGAGCATAAACGTACCCTTATATACATGTAGCTACACATGTTTACGATGACCTCTGGTAGTCCAGACGCAGGGAAAAGCTCCTTAAGCCATTCTCTCTCTTGGTGAGACATATACTGATTCTCTGATAAACTGTCTCTTAATGTGAGCCTACCTGTAGTGCTGTATGGATAATGTTACACGGAATGACATTTTATCTTGAATTATCCACTTTAATGCAACCGTTGGCGGAGAATTCCTTAAGGGTTATGACAGCTTTTGCTATGCTTTTAGACAAAGAATGTTTATTTAAATGAGTTTTAAAAAAACAAAGCAAACAAGTTCAAAGAAACAACACATAACTTCTTATTTCAGTATAGCTGTATTCTGGGGCTCAATATCCTGTGTTTGCTGCTGTGACAAACTTTCCTTGATTTCAAGTACTTTACTTTTCCTTCATATTTTTTGTCTGTTATTTCAACTCTCCCTTCTTCTCTGTCTTTCTGTCTCTCTGTCCCTCTCACTCCCTCCCTCACTCACTCACCCTCCCCTATCCCTCCCTCCTTCCCTCCCTCCCTCCTACCCATCTCCTCTACGGACTACCCCTTGTTCTTCCTCCTCCTCCTCTCTCTCTCTCTTTCTCTCTCTCTCTCTCTCTCTCTCACTCATCCCATGAACCTAAACAGGAAGAAAAATACTAAAATATATGTTTCTATGCCTATAATGTAATACTTAAATAATATTCTCAAATGTATTTTGAGAACACACTGAACAAAAGCAATTTCTAGCATAGGGAATGCACATTCCCAACAATCTGTACTTAAATAAATTCATACTACTTTTTCCTGGAAACCCTTGCTACTTAAATAGAAAGCTATATTTCAATCAAATTAGGTTCTGAAACATAAGATTGTACTGCTTTGTGTTCATTTGTATAATACACATGAATTTGGCATTTGCAACTAACCACAGAGCAAGCAGAGTACTGTTCACAAAAATCATGTATAACATTGCACAATTGAATACATTATTTCATCTAATCGTTAAATATTCCTTTTGAATGCAATATCATCTCGAAGCAAACAATTTAAAAATGAAATTGTTATAGCTAAAAATAAGCAGGTGCAAGAACATGATTCTAACAATGATTCAACTAATGAGGTATTTTAATACCGTTTTGCATTGCATATTATGTTATAAAGTTTATGTATGTCATAGTAATGTTCACTTATTTCAATAAGTGAACTTGGGGTATTTATGGCAAATGCCAATAAAATTGCAATTGGTTGATTTTTATAATTTTTGCCATCTTACTTAAAAAAGGTTTAGAATATGAATTCCTAAATAGCGACTCTTAGAATGTGGAACCAAATGAATTAAGTCAACATCAATAATAGGCTACTCATCACGAGACAGGTTTACAAACATGGAAATCCACTGCTTCCAAGCTTTCCCATAAAACAAACAAATATTGTCATTCAATCAACATATTTGCTTGAGTTTGGAGTGCATACACCGGCAGAAAAACCTTTCCATTTCTATTTCCCGATCAACAATTCATCGGCCGGATGATGACGGTTCGTGAGTATTGTCAAAATGACAGATCGGTTTCATGAACGTTGATCCAATTTTGTCAGCTTCGCTAGCTCAATTCCAAAGCATGGACAGTGAATCTAGAACACGGACGCACTTACGTTTACTTTTTCAGCCTACT